TCTCCTTTTACCAGTAAAAAAAAAAAAAATTTAGTTCAGGCAACAGGATTACTTAACTCTGATACCAGATCCCCACATGTCCTTATTCTCAGCCCATAGCTTTGCCTACTTTGACTGGGAAGCAGTAACAATTTGTGTGCCAAATCTAATTTATATWACAAAATAAGAAAACATTTATGCTTTCTATCTATGTCCTGATTTTGTTATAAATTTGAGACTTTAAAAAGTTAGGTAATGCTTCTAAGTTAGGTAATGCTAGTTAAGTAAATAAAAGTTAATTCTCTATAACTTGATAATTATTCACACTGCTAGATGCTGGTTATAAAATGGGGGGGGCACCTTTATTTGGTATGAGACTAATTATAAATCACAGAAAAATCTTTAATAGTTATATCTAATGAGAAAGAGATTTAATCCTCAGACTTTAAAATATAGGTTGAGCATCCCTAGTCTTAAAATGATAAAGCTAACATGCTCTAAACTCTAAAACTTTTTGAGCACCAACACAATACCACAAGCAGAAAATTTCACACCCAACCTCATGTGGTATTTCATACTAAAAAAATGCACACAAGGGCTGGGGTTGTGGCTCAGTGGTAGAGTGCTTGCCTGGCACAATTATCTTAAACTCCATGTATAAGGTATATATGAAACAAATTTTGTGTTTAGACATGAATCCTAACCCCAAGATATTTTATTTTGTATATACCCAAGTGTGAAATTTGAAACATTTTTGGTTCCCCAAGCATTTCAGATAAGGATACTCAACCTGTAGTACTCAGCCTATAGTTGCTATTATGAATGACCTCTTCCATAGTCAGTAAATGCCTTTTAGGGAATTAAAAAATTGATACTTCAACCAAAAATTTTGAGACTGCCTCTTTCCCCCTTTAGTTACTGTTTTTTTTCTTCAAGAATAAAAAACCTAAATCATTCCTTTACATGAATAAAGACCTTTGTGTGTGAAAAAGGCTGATTTTTCTCAGGGAAAWTTTTTTTTATTTAATTATATTTCACAACTCAAAACTTTTAGCTGGGCATGTAATCCCAGAGGCTCTGGAGGCTGAGGCAGGAGAATTGTGAGTTCAAAGCCAGCCTCAGCAATGGCGAGGCACTAAACAACTCAGTGAGACCCTGTCTCGAAATAAAATACACAATAGGGCTGGGGATGTAGCTTAGTGGTCGAACGCCCCTGAGTTCAATCCCTCGTACTTTTCCACCCTGAGTACAATCCCTCCCCATCACCCCCACCAAAAAAAGTTCATGTTTTCTCAGATTGATATATGGCTTGTTTTGTTGGAACCTTGAATACAACAAAGTGTGTACTTGGGAGGAACACTTTGTTTTTATAATTTCAGGGACAGGGTTTAATAAGCATGTAGTTTGGGGGTTGGCAGAAGACAGAAGGAAGCACTTCACAGAGATTAAAATGGTGAGCCATTGATCTGCAGTATGGATTTAATTGATTATAGTATCATAGAATTTACTTGATCTTCTGGACATTTGGGTCTTTATTGCATCATTATTCATACATCTTTGCACATGTTATTTTTTCAGTAGATCACACTGACTTAAAATTACTAATATTTGAAAGCGTTTAATATTAATAAACTTTGGGGGGCTGGGGATGTGACTCAAGCGGTATTGTGCTCGCCTGGCATGCATGCGGTCCAGGTTCGATCCTCAGCACCACATACAAAGATGTTGTGTCCGCCAAAAACTAAAAAATAAATATTAAAAACKCTCTCTCTCAAAAAATAAATAAATAAACAAACAAACTTTGSAATGATGTCCTCCAGAAAAGCTATGTAAGCATGTACTTCTAGTATATGATTTTTGTTCATTCTTCCAGCACTACAATAGTAGTCATTATCATGTTTTACGTTTTTTTTGTCAGTTTAAGGGGAAGAAACAACAAGACATAGTGGTGCACGCCTCTAATTCCATCTACTTGGGAGGCTGAGGCAGGAGGAACCAAGTCAGAGGCCAGCCTGTGCAATTTAGCAAGACCCTGTCTCAAAATAAATGAAAAAGGTTCAGTGTTAGAGCACTTGCTTACCACAGGTGAGGCCAGGGGTTCACATTCCCAGCATCACAAGAAAGGGGAGGAGGGCATTATTACTTAGTTTTGATTACTAAKGTAGTCATATGTGCATATCTGCTAACCATTTTTATGTGAATTCTCTGTTTATGACCTTTGGCATCTTTTAGGAGAARTGTTAATAGTTTTCCTAAGGGTTTTTAAAGACTTCTTATACATGAAAGACATTGTCCTGTTGCCCTATGGTAGTTCTGTTGTTTTGTTTTGTTTTAAGGAACCTCTGTATAGTGGCTGCATAGTGTTTTCCATAGTGGCTACACTGTGTATGTGGTGTATTTTTAACATCATTAACTAAACATACTTAGAAAAATACACAGAACACTAGTACTTTTTCATATAACAAATATCTAGATTGTCTCAAAGTAAATAGGACTGGGCTGGGCACAGTKGCACATGATTGTAATCCTAGCAACCTGGGAGCCTGGGACAGGATGATCACAAGTTCATGGCCAGCGTCGACAACGTAGGGAGGCCCTCAGCAACTTAGTGAGACCCTGTCTCAAAAAAGGCTGGGGATGTAGCTCAGTGGTAAAGCACCCCAGGGATCAATCCCAAGTAATCCACTTCACCACTAAAAAGTGTTGTGATCCTCTGTGATGTAAGAGTTTATGTTTCTTAAACAAAACYCAGAAAACTTCTTTGATTTCTGTGATGTCTTGTATGAGTGGCACAGTGTTGAACACACAAGATTGTTTTTCTTCACATTCATTCACGATACTTGATTCATGCAGAGAACAATGCTGTCCTGGTCATTATAATCTAAAAGCCCCTGGCCAAGTTGTAGGAAAGTCTTATGCTGGCTGAGGGCTCAGCTCTCCCAGTCTGCTGTACATCTGTTTTCTGTTACTGCTCCTGTCATCTCTGCTGTTAGTCTTTGTCCTATGGGTATGTTAGGAATTCTTCTCTAACTTTACTGGTGTTTCAGGAGAGGAGAGACATCCTTCAACTTTTTAGACACAAATTTCTCCTTGTGTGATGTATTTGTGATGTATTTTTGTTTCCTGTTGTGAATAGATGGTGCTTCTTGCAGTCCATTGCAGTTGCCCAACTCCTTGAGATTTTGGTTCAGCCCATGCCGCTGTTCTTGAGTTTTCAGAAGGATTTTCTTCTTTTGTTTCTGAACATATTTTCATACATTGTACTTTCTTTATTCCAAAAATATATTGTATGTTTCGCCCTTGCTCTTTACATTGGTGACCTGAGTTGTATGGACCTTGATCAGTTTTTGCTTTTGACTCAAGTTTAACTTATGCAAGTTATTTGAAGGTGGGGATTCTGTGTTAAATCTCTGTCCCACCTAGATCTTAGTTAACATGGTACTATAAACAATAGTCCCTTAGACAAGTGTTTAGTAAGTGTTTAATGAAAAGACAAAGTTCAAAACAGAATATTTATATAAAAAATTGAATTGCTGCTTWATATATTGCAGTTTTTTAGTGTATAATGAAAAATCTTGTGAGACTGGGTGAGTAATTTTAGGTGTAAAATTTACAGCATTTCTTCTGAAGTGATATTAAGTGTATATATTTAATGGATTAGATATTAGGTGATCTAATATAGAGTGTAAGTATGGTAATGAGACCAAAACTCTGAATATGATTTTTATTACTCCCTGCAAATCTCCAAGGTGGCTTAAGTTCTGTGGTACACTTTGTATTAATGTCAGCAAACCTACTCCCTAATAATCGATACTGTTATTCAAGGACTCCAATATAATTGTGTCCATGAATGAGCAATCCAGATCATCAAGTTATTGGGGAAAAAAATAACCTGAAACTTAATTTAATAAAGGTTTTCTTTTGATATGGAGACTAATAATAGGATTTCTTCTTCTTCTTCTTCTTCTTCTTTTTTTTAATGGTGCCTGGGATAGAACTCAGGGCCTCAGACACAATAGGCAAATGCTGATGAGTGAGCTTTAGCAATTCACTTGATAACTCATGTTTATTTAAAATAGTGGTCCATCAGTAGTAACCAGTTATTCTTTTGTTTTAAACTATTTTTCCATTGGTTCTTTTTTGAACAGTTTTTTTTTGATCAGCTATTTAATTATGTATTCAGAAGATGAAATTGTAAACATTATTATAATTCTCATTTTTTACTGAGGTATTAAGTGTTAACTGAAAAAGTTTACAAGTAGTACCCTTATCAAACAATTTAAATTATATTTTTTCAAGCTGATACTAAATGAAATAAATCATCAGTATGTATAAGGCTTATAAGAAGGGTAGTTTAAGGGAGGGTAAGCACTTGTTGGTGGGATGGGAAGGGCGTTGCTGGCTAATGCTGAATGTATATTTAATCAGTAGCCATGTTCTGTGTAACAGTGGTCTTGGGATAGCCTGTTGAATCTGTATCTTCTGCCTCCCTCTTTTCACATAAATGCAATGAGGTCATTGCATTTCTGAGAACTCTTAAGGCTTTTCAGCAGTGAAATAATCCAAAGACAGGCATCAATAAGGATAAGGGAAAAAACATTAAATAACAGGTAGGAATTGACTCCCTAAGGTAGACAAAGTATAGCCTCAGCCTGCTTTTTCTGAGCAAGCTTTAAAAAAAAAATCTGGTTTTTCGATAAACTTCGTAATTATAGATGTTCAGGATTGTTGCTTTTATCAGTATGACTCCAGACTATCTAATGTGTAATTGTAAATTAGCAATTTGATTAATCCACTCCTTTCCTATTGAATGAAGCTTATTTATTGAGCTTTAGTCCCCCCCTCAAAGCTTTCTTATTTATTCCTTGACGACCTTTAAATGAAGAAAACAGAATATAATTGTATTTAAGATAAAGCTAACTAATGGAATATCCAGAATTTGCAGGATGTGTTGAAATTGATTACATATTATTTTGAAATATTAATCAACAATGATCCAAATATTTTTGTTTTCATTTTAGAACAAAATACAGTCTCATAGCAGAGGAGAATATAATGTTTACAGCACCTTCCAGAGCCATGAACCAGAATTTGACTACTTGAAAAGTTTAGAAATAGAAGAAAAGATCAACAAAATTAGGTGGTTACCCCAGAAAAATGCTGCTCAGTTTTTATTGTCTACCAATGGTAAGTGCATATCTCCTCTTCAATGCCTACTGCTTGAATCAGTCCCAAAGGGCTACTCACCTTTTCCATGAGGATTCATAAGAGTTCTCTGTGAGAGACATTAAGAAACTTTACCCCCCCCCCCATTTTTAGATTCTCGAGTACCAGTTGTTATTTAATGCATGTCCCATTTGTAGTGAAAATAACAAGCTGCTTCACCATTGGGTTAGGTTGGTGCTATTTTTGTCACTGTTCAACTTCGTAGCTTTGTGCAAGTTACTAATACTCAGTTGAATTTTCCTCATCAGTAAACTAGAGATGATAATGTCTGTATTATAGTATTATTGTATTAAATTTAACAACTTTGCTTACATAAGGAGTATGTTAATTTCCTTTCCTCCTCCTTTCTAAGTGTACCTAAGTTCTATTGTATGCTGGTTAGAGTTGACTCTACAATTTGAAGCCCTTTATGACAAGTTAAGTATTGGAAAATTTCCTTTTGTTCCTTTGTATTTTTTTCCCTATAAATCACTGTTGGCTTACCCGTGGTATCTTGGCTGTGAAGAGAGTCATTACAGTGATTTGAGGAGATATTTCAGAAACCAGATAGCAAGTATATTAGAATTTTAGATTTTAAATTTTAAATCTTTTTTGAGACTGGAACAAGGGTTGGGAGAAACATCTCATTTTCTCAGCCCCCTTGCTATTAATAGGAGAAATTCTAGCACCTAGACCTCATCGTTTGCAGAGTATAAACTCAAGTGGCTTCTGCGGTAACATGCTAGACGACATTGAATGCCCCTTCATCCAGTTTATGCCTCATAGCCTTTTTATACTGAAATCTTAGAAATGTGGTGAACAAAATATTGCAACTCCTGATGCCATTTTACCTCCTCTTAGGGAACCATTTTTCTTATCAGAGTTCTCTATATCAGCCTGTTGAATCTGTATCTTCTGCCTCTCCCTCTTTTCACATAAACTGCATTGTCCTCTCACTAAAAATAAAGTAACTAAAGCCTTTAACTCACGGCATCATAGGTGGAAGTAGTACGTTTACTTCTGTTATGTGTTGGCTTCTAATTTTTTTTTGTTTTAATATATATGGTAAAGTAAATTATTCTAAGACTCACTTTCATTGATGTAAAATAATGCAGATTCCTAGTTTGAAAAGTAGAATAGCAGTTGCGGTCATCAAGTATTGGAATATTCATAATAATTTTTGACAGCTCATTTCTTATAGACTATATCATTTTATTTTTTACAAAAGAAAGTTGTAAGTGTAGACTGAAGTAGAGAGAATAGTATAATGAAGCCCACATGCCTGTCTTCCAGTTTCAGCAGTTGTCAATACTTCTTCCTTGTTATTTGGAAGCAAATGCCATTTCAACTCATGTGGATTAAATTTTAACTATCCTTCACTTCTTTTTATGTCTACATGTGTTCTGTAGAGCCTTTGTTGTGCTCCTCTGGAAACATAATCACCAGATGAGCCTTTCTAGACCCTAAATGTTGTAAAAACTCAGTGGCGAGAGACGCCGCTAGAAATTCCAGTGGCTGGATCAGTAGTGTATGACTCTGTAGTTTTTATTAACAGTATCTCCCAAATAGATTTAGTACATAAATTTAAACTTGCAAAGTTTTTGACTAGTGTTACAAATTATCTGAAGGCACTATAYAGTGAGTACATTGTAAATTTTTATCTTGATGAATTCCAAATAAAACACAAATAAATCGAGAATGCATTATTTTGTTTGTGCGTGTGCTAAAAGTAGTACTTAAAAAATAGGATCAAGGTGGGAGGATAAACTTGGCATGGGCATTTTCTAAGCTGTTGTGCCTGGGTGATARGATGCAGAAAGGATAGAGGAAGGAGTAAGACTTAAGCTACATCTGAAATTATTTAAAAGGACAAAAATGCAGGTCAGGAGAAATAACATTTGATAAATCTGAGTGAGATCTTTATTTTGTGTGGTTTTTTTCTGTGAGAATTAGCATAATACCCACTCCATACCCCAGTGTAAGGGGTCTTTATAGTCATAAAAATAAGTTCAAAACTACTACTATGGGATATAGTGAACTCACCTAAAATTCAAATGGTTTTTTTTTTTTTTTTCCATCTTTTGCCTTTCTCTGATGTGTGTGTGGGGTTGGGGGACACAACCGGGATTGAATCCAGCTGCCCTTAACCACTGAATCATATCCCCAGCCCTTTTTATTTTTTTATTTTGAGACGGGGYTTACAGTCAACCTGCAACCCTCTTCCCCTAGCCTTCTGAGCCCCTGGGTTTACAGGTGTATGCCATCATACCTACCTTCTCTGATTCCTTTTTTATGCCTCCATATTTTAAAAACATCTGACCAGCTTGTCGGCCATGAGTCTTAAATATACAAATATTAGCGAATTGCACTCAGAAGTAGGTTGTTTTCAAAGCTTTTGAGTTTTAGACAATAGCTGCATTCCCACAAAGGAGGGCTTGGTGGCATGTTTCTCTGCTCTCTTTGTGTTTGGCAGATGGACCCCAGAGACTTTGGGCTTCTAGAATTTTTAATTATTTGGCAGTTTTAGTGGAAGTTATGGAAGGAGCAGATCTCATTGAGAATCTAAAAATCCTCTCCTTGAAAGATCTTACATAATCTTTCAAGTCTTTAGGTAGTTTGTTTTTAGGGTATTTTCCCCCCTGTAATACTGCAAGGAACATAACTAATTTCATCTCTTCTAAATGTTTGATAAAGTATATTGTAATTTTTAAAAATCTGGATTGTCATTAAAGATCATTTAAACAGGCCATAAGACAGCTGTAGGGATGGGTAATAGGGTTGTCATCTTTATTATCAGTGATTTCAGATATTTATTTGTCCCAGAATATAGAATTTAGGCAGTACTTCTGTCTAAATTATATAAATATGGCTGGGGTTGTGGCTCAGTGGCAGAGTGCTTGCCTCTCACATGTGAGGCACTGGGTTCAATTCTCAGACCACATAAAAATAAGTTAACAAAATAAAAATATTGTGTTCATATATAACTTAAAAAAAAACAGTTACATGTTAAAAAAATTATATAAATATACACACTAAATAGTACATAGGAAACACATAGAACTTAGCTGCAAGAGAATTGTAAACAAGATTACATAGAATTTAGAAGGAATAGATTATAGGCTACTATAATTAGTTGTTGTTTTGTTTTGTTTTGTTTTGTTTTTGAGAAGGGCATCTACAGGAACAAACACTCTTTAAAACAAAGGAAATAAAGATTACCAGGCTAGAGATTCACTGGTATCTCTCTCTAGAAATTGTTTTTGCATTGCTTTTATAAAATGGCTCTAAGTGTGAACTGAACTTAATGACCCACTTCCAAAGAATAGAGTGTGTGTGTGGCYGGGGAGGGGGATGTGCTTGTGTGTTAGGGAAGCCTAGTTTTGACAAACCTACCAAAGTTGCACAAGATGCTGGCATCAGAGCAATCTGGGGGAAGGGTATATGGGAATACTACTGTCTTTGCAACTTTTTTCTAAATCTAAACTGAAATCCAAAATAAAAGTTTATTTTTAGGGGTTGGGGATTTAGCTCAGTGGCTGAGCACTTCTTTGATATGCGCAAGGCCTTGAGTTCAGTCTTTTGTGTCTTGGGTCAGGGGAAGGGGAGAGGGGACAAGATAACTGTAAAGTTTATTCAGAAATTTTGTCTTGAAGGAATTGGGTCATATGCTTTCAATCAATCAATTTTTTTTTTGGTTTTGTTTTGGGGAGCTGTTTCACACTTAGGAATCCCTGACACAGGGGAAAGACATATTTAAATGGAGGCATCCAGGGCTATGAAGGAATCTGTGGATCTTTGATAAGATATGCTTAGAGAATGGACTGAGGAAGAGATGCCTTGCCATTCCAGTTGTAAATAATAAGCAATGTGAAGGAAGTTTATCGTTCACTCTCTTTGATTTTTTTGAATTAGATACTGAGCATATTTGTATACCTATTTATGTGTATATGTAGATGTGTTTACATACATACAGTTTTTCCCCTGTAGTTTTTAAAAAATATCTTTATTTATTTATTTTTATGTGGTGCTGAGGATCCAATCCAGGGCCTCACACCTGTGAGGCAAGTGCGCTACCACTGAGTTACAGCCCCCAGCCTCTACCATGTAGTTTTAATTCTTTAAAGGATTGAGATCTGGCTGTGGCTTGACTTGAATAGCACATGGAATTTGTATGATTGCCATTAATATATAAATTTGTAATTTTTGTGTATGTTTTTTTACATGATAATTAGAATTTTTATTAGATAAAGGATTTAAAAAAATCTTTTGGGTGAAATGTAAAGTTATCTCTTAAAATTATTTATTAGTATCATTTATTTTTGAGGACTTTTATTATTCTCTCCTCAGATAAAACAATAAAATTATGGAAAATCAGTGAAAGGGATAAAAGACCAGAAGGCTATAACTTGAAAGAGGAAGATGGAAGGTATAGAGATCCTACTACAGTTACTACACTACGAGTAAGTACTTAAAAAATGATTCAGATGGATAGGATTTTATGTTCATACCACGTATAGCCTAGATTCTGAACAGAATAGGAATAACTGCAATTACAATTCTCAGCCCCCACCAGCAATTCTGTAACAAGGTAAGACATTGAGTTACTCTCATTTAAAGATAGAAACTGAACTAAACAGAGGTCTTGTTGTAGTCAGGGTCAGAACTAGGACTAAAACACAAGGGCATGCTTTATACTCTACCACTGCTCTTTTTCATAGTTGGAATGTCCAAGATTAAATTTGAAGATTCCTTTTTCTTCAGAGATGAAAAAAGTGCAAAGGGACTATATGCTTTAGTTGTAACTTAATAATACTATGTGCTATGATTTAATTTCTTTTTTTACCTCATTAATTTGAACCACAAATATTTAGTATCTTTCAAGTAAATGGTTGAAACAAAGAAGGCAAATTGTCCACATTGTTTTCTTTTTATTCCCATTTCAAATTGAAAAGATCAGCATCAGTTCCTTTTTAAGTCTGTAATATTATTGCTATTTTATGTTCTCACAAACTAAAATAATGAAGTGTTCTGAACTTTCACTGCTTAATGAACATACTGTAAATTCTGCTTTTTTTTTTTTCATGTGTTATTGACAGGTGCCAGTCTTTAGACCTATGGATCTAATGGTCGAGGCTAGTCCACGAAGAATATTTGCCAATGCTCATACATACCACATCAACTCAATTTCTATAAATAGTGATTATGAAACTTATTTATCTGCTGATGATTTGCGGATTAATCTTTGGCATCTGGAAATTACAGACAGAAGTTTTAGTATCCACTTTATTTTGGTTTTGGTATTTGGTAAAGAAAGCATATTATGCCCATATTAAATTCATCTTATTTCATATATTTGATTTCTTTTTAAAATATATCTTTTAATATAGGTGGCATCTTATTTTTTCCATGTATTTAAGTGACAACACAGGGGAATTGATGAATTGATTTCAAAATTGATTCATGGAATTTTAAGAGATTTGTATGTATGAAAATAGGAATTTGGTTTTATAATAATTGAGTTTTTGGTTGAAAAGATTATTGAGTATTATATTTGAAATTTTAATTATAAAAATATTTTTATTAATTTTGGAAAAGGAAATTCATGTATGTTATGATGAAAGATGATATAATGTCAAAAGAAGTTATCCAAACCCTATTTTTGCTCTTTATAACAACCTCCTGAAATTTTCCTGTATACATGTATGTGATATATCAACCTATATACCTGTGCACATTCATATAATATAGATATAAATATAGAAATGTATTTCTTTTTTAAACCTTGATCAGTGGTAGTTGTCTATATATTTTTCAAATAATTTATTGTTTCAAAAATTAAAAAATCTTTATCATAATTCATACTCTATCAATAGTATAGAAGAGCCTATTTTTCTGTGTCTTTACCAGTCTTTGAGAAAAAGTCTTTTGTCAGGTTGGGATTTGGCTCAGAGGTAGAGCGCTCACCTACCATGCATGAGGCACTGGGCTCCATCCTTAGCACCACATAAAAATAAAAATATTGTTATAGCTAAAAATAAATATTTTTTAAAAAGAGACTTTTTCTTTTTTTTTTAAATGAGTTGATTCAGGCATCTTTTTATATTCAGTCACTTGTATTTGTATTTCTTTTTATTCTTTTCCATTTTTCCCCCTAGATTTATATGTATACATACTTTAAAGTACTTTTTTTTTATATTGAGTTGATTGAGAAATAATATCCCTTTTTTACTCTCTTGAGGTGTGTGTTTTGGTATTCTCTAATAGTTGTGAAGACAAATTTCTTGGCCTTTCCTTTACGATTTTTGGCATTTGTATCATAATTGGGAAGACTTCTACAAACTAAAATTTGCCTGTTGTTCCTGAGAGCTATTTGGTTTTTAGCATTAAAAGTTCTAATACTTTTGGGATCTATACTCACACAAGAGTAGGCTGCAATTCAGACTTAATACTTATTGTTAGATTTATGAATTCAGTTTAGATTTGAGATGTGCAGAATTATATTTGCCAGTTTTTTTTTCAAGTGAAAATTCCTTAATAAAATCCTATCTAGATATTGTGGATATCAAGCCTGCCAATATGGAAGAGCTCACAGAAGTGATCACAGCAGCAGAATTCCATCCAAATAGCTGTAACACATTTGTGTACAGCAGCAGTAAAGGAACTATTCGGTTATGTGACATGAGGGCATCTGCCCTCTGTGATAGGCATTCTAAACGTAAGTTTATTTTATCTTTCTTAATAGCAGTTAATGTATTTGGAACTCACCTCAGTCATATGTGTCCAGAGCCTCCTGTACTCTGGTAACCTGCCTGACTCCATAAGGTGTTACACAGGTTGTTCCTTAATATGCAAAAGCATAGTTTGGCTTAAAAAAAAATAAGGGGTTGCAATATTCTTATCCTGTAGTTCAGTGTTGTTAAAACTCAGGAATTCCTAACAGGCTATTATGAAAATAATTTTACATYGCTACAAGAAAAATCCTAGTATAAATTTGGATGGGTGAAGATGGCATGTTTTTCACCTTGATGATATAGGTAGAGTCAGGTATTTTRTAGAATATACCAGTCTGGTACACTGAAGTCACAGGTCTCAGGTGGGTCTGGTTCTACTAAATTAGCCATATGACTTTGGAAGCATACACTTTTGAATCTTCATCTTTCAATATCAGGCCATTTTTGTCAGACACATGCCTGTAATCCCAGCAATAAAAGGGCTAGAAATGTAACTTAGTGGTAAAGAGCCCCTGGGTTCAATCCCTAGTTAATAACAATCCCCTCAATSATGTATGTCATTTTCTTAAACTTTTAGGGGAATTACTACTTTCATATTAAAGCCAGAAAGGAAAAAAAATCATCTGATAAAGAATCGTCAGTTTTTTATTAGCTTGTGATTTTTTTACTTCATTCTTAGAATGTTTATGAATGGTTGTTCAGAAAATTATTTGTTCAAGTCAGAATATTGTTCATATTGCACTTTTATATCTCTCTCTCATATTTTTGGCTTGTTTTTAGTGTTTGAAGAACCTGAAGACCCCAGTAACAGGTCATTTTTTTCTGAAATCATCTCTTCTATTTCTGATGTAAAATTCAGCCATAGTGGTCGCTATATGATGACTAGAGACTATTTGTCGGTCAAAATTTGGGACTTAAATATGGAAAACAGGCCTGTGGAAACATACCAGGTATTTGAGTTTTTTCTTTCAATGAGCATCTACCTTATTTACTTGGAAGTGTTCATAGAGTAGGATTTTTTACTATGTGATAATCCGAATGTACTGTGTGTGTTAACCATTAGATTTTCCATTCAGAGACCCATGGATATGTTGCTTTTCCTCATGTTARGTGTGTGTGTGTGTTTATACTATGTGTGTTTCCAATGCCACTGAATTGTGGTTTTATTATCTGTTTGGTTCAATATTGTCAACTTTGTGTGCTGATATTATGTGGGAAGGAAGCTGCATTCTTTATTAAGGTCTGGGCAGTATAGTCCTGATAGGKTTGTATAAGCTGTGGCTAGGGAACATGTGGAGAGCTTCAGTTTGGTGTGCCTAGTTGCATGACTCAAGTGTCTTGTAGGCKGGAAGTATACTGTCTTTGACCTAAAGGAAAGGGGCTTGAAAGCTCAAAAGATGGCTTAGGAATTGCTTATTATGGATTATCAGTTCAGGATTCTTTTCTAGGCAGCCAGCCACTACCCTTTACTCATCTGCCCTCCACCAGAGATAAGAAATGAAGTGCACAGCCCAGCAGGGGCAGAGGCCAACAGAAACCTGTTATGCCCTGGACTATAATAGTGTAGAAGACACTTAATGCTGCCTAAGAATACCTAGGTTATAATGATSTCTTTATGTTACACAGTCCCAATAAAAATCAAAGAACAGAATTTCTCAGACTAAGTATCCTTTGACAGACATATAAACCACTCAAGATTCTCAGTGATGGTCTTTCAGATTTCAAAATAAAACACTACATTGAAACAGAAGCAAAGATGTGAAGTACTGCTTTGTTTTCAAAATAAATTTGGGTGCCAGCACTGTGCCACCCTATAACCCCAGCCACGTGGGAGGCTGAGGCAGGAGGATTACAGAACGGCCTAGGCCACCTAGCAAGACCCTGTCTCAAAATATAAAAAAGGCTGAGATTGTAGCTCAGTGGTAAAGTGCTCTTGGGTTCAATCTCCAGTACCCAAGAATTTTGCTAATTCTTTACGTTTGTGTAACTGCAAAGGTTAATGTATCTCCTGGTTAACCTTAGCATCTCCCCATTCCCATTGAGGATTATTCATTTGGATCTTAGCTTCATACTCTTGAATCATTTGGTGAGCAACATTGTACAAACTACATGCATTGTAAAATGTGCTGAATCACAGTAACTTAGCAGATGTGTTACCTGATTTCCCAATTCCTGCCAATGCTAAATTGGATTAATAATTCAGTGTCACCTCATGCACATATAGCCTATATAAATTCATAATTTTTTTTTGAATCTGTACAGTCTTGCTTTGCTCTGTTGTATGTGATTGGGGGATACTTTCATCTTCATTTTTTTCACATTAGTTACCCATGTTCAATCCTAAACCCACAAGAGTTGCAAGTTAAGATTAGGTTGTGGAAAGCATAATTCTGATTTAGAGTATACTTTATTATTCTATTTCAGTAAAAAGAATAGTCAATAAGTCTCCTTTTTTCCCTCTAATCACAACAAATACTGTGGTATTTTCTTTGTTAATTTAGCAATATTAATATTGAAATGTATCATGTTTCTCAATCTTCTTATTTTCCATATTTTTTCAAATATCAGTAAATATGGAATTCAAAAACAGATACATTTTAATTAGCTTTTGACATTGTGTAAGTAATATGGAGTGATGCACATCTAATAACCAAACCAAGGCTTCACTGCACTGTGCTTAGCATATGAATTTACTTAAAAATATAAGCCCAAGTTTAAATCTATTCCCAGAAAATGGCATTTTAAAGGAAGTAAGCAGTGTTTTATCAGCAGTTAGTGGACTGAAAAACAAGTAGGGATGATCACATATTGCTCTTGTGTTCTTTTCTTAGTCTCTTCCGTTTCCAAATATTTTCTGTTTTAGTCGGGCATTTCAGGATACATGTGGCATGCCAGAGGGAGTTTTTCCCTGTTGTACTACAGGAAAATGTGCTTCCCTAAAAGGCGATTTGTATTTTGTAAAAGGCTTTTAAAACACTGCTATTATTGTTACCAAGAGTACTGAGATTTAAGATGTTTAGGGGTGTGTGTACCTTTTTTTTTTTTTTTTTAAATAGAGACTTTTAAATTCATTTTCCTGATTTGAGTGCATAGGCTCTTTAGGTAAACTGTTTTGTCTTTTCCCCAGGTTCATGAATACCTCAGAAGTAAACTCTGTTCACTGTATGAAAATGACTGCATATTTGACAAATTTGAATGCTGTTGGAATGGATCTGACAGGTAATTCATTTTAATTTGAATCTCTTATTCTAATAGGAATTTTATTAGAAAGAAACTTGCCATTGCATACCTCATATTATAATTGACATATTAGCTAAAAAAGATGGCCAATTTTGGGGGAGGGCGGTTCTAGGGATTGAACTCAGGCACTTGACCACTGAGTCACATCTTCAGCCCTATTTTGTGTTTTATTTAGAGACAGGGTCTCACTGAGTTGCTTAATACCTTGCCTTTSCTGAGGCCTGCTTTTGAACTCATGATCCTCTTGCCTCGGCCTCCCAAGACGCTGGGATTATAGGCATGCGCTACTGTGTCCAGCATGACCAACTTTTTCTTTTTTAATATTTTTTGTTGTCAATGGACCTTTATTTTATTTATTCATATATTGTGCTGAGAATCGAACCCAGGGCCTCACACATACCAGGCAAGTGCTTTGCCATTGAGCCACCACCCCAGCCCTCTTGACCAACTTTTTTTTAAGTTAACATAGATTACTTCATTTTCCACCAAGGGAAATTTAAAGTAAATTTAGTAATTTTAGATGTAACATAGCAATACTATGATAAAAATTAAGTGTTGATTTCACTAGTAATATGGAACAAAACATCTGCAACAAATGGTTTTATCTAAATTATTATTTGGATGTCTTCAGGTGTTTTTCTTTTATGAACCAGATAAATCACTTTTCTCACTGGCTGAGGTGGTACACACCTGTAGTCCCGCCTACTTGGGGGCTTGAAGCAGGAGGTTAGCTGCTATTTCATCGAAATGTATGTCATTATTTCCAAAGTTTAAATAAGTCTTATTTTCAATCTTCTGTATTATCACTTAATGTGTTCCAGTTAAAACATAATTTCTAAAACTTGTATTTAAAGTAGAGGTATTTTATTTGATAGTAGTTTTATCATAGATGCTTTATGTGTTTCAAGTTTCATAATAAGGTATTACCAAGGGTAGTAGTACTTGGAACAGATACCTTTTGTCTGGTTTTTATATTATACTCTTCTGATTTTGGCGTGAGTTCCAATGTTAGTTTGGCTGTACTAAGCAGAGAATCCTGTTGGTAGAAATAAGTAAACACTTGGAATGCCACTACTGAATCTGAGGTGTCAGAAAAAAGGAAAAGTGGGAAAAGGGGGTGTTGGGAATAGACAGATTTGAAGAGAAAGGAGGTACTGATGTAATAGAGTATGATGTACCTGTTTCCTCATGAAGTGGGGGCAGTGGGTGCACATTAATTTGTCACATTTTAGTTTTGCACCAGTTTTACATAAGCACCACATGCAAAGTCCATTACCTCTGAATTTATGTAATGACTTTCCTAAAGGCATACACACTCCTACAAACTGACAGTACAGGCATGTAAAGCAGAAACTCACGTTGATGCAGTACGGTCATCTAATCCACAGATCTCTTTACATTTCTACGAGTTTTCTCAGTTATGTCCTTTAGCAAAGAATCTGGTAAAGCACATATTCTAGGATCCTATGTTAAATTTATTTGTCGTATGTAGTTGTATTCTTTGTTCTTGAACAGTTCTTCATTTGAGTGTTTCTTAATCGAAGATTCTCTGATGTTTTCTCATGATTAAATTCAGGTTATACATTTTTGGCAGGGATGTCACAAAAATGCTGGCCTGGTGATTCCTTTTAAATTAAAAAGAGCCAAAGATTCAGTGTCTTTAATCCATTGAAACTTCACAAATTCAGAGAATATGGGGATACCAGTCTCATTTACGTAAATCATTTAAAAGCAATAACAGTTCATTATCTTCAGGGACATGGCACCAACTTCAGATTGGTTAAAATTGTTCTCAATAATAATAATAATAGTCCCTTATATGTAGGAGATAAGTATAACTTTGAACAAATCCGTAGTATCCTATCATTTCACTTACAGTAATAATTTGAACCTGTGAGAAGGAGGTAGTACATAATAGTGGTACTAGAGTAGTAGTACACCCCCCCCCCTTTTTAAATCAATGGACCTTTATTTCCAAACTACTAAGGGTTTCACACTTGTGAATTTTTGCCTTTGAGAATACTTGGTGAATGTTGAGCAGTGATTGATATCAAATAGAAGTGACAAGAAAGTGTCTTGATGCTGGGGGTGATGGTGCCCATCTTTAATCCCAGCAGCTCAGAAATCTGAGGCACAAGGATAGTGAGTTTGTGGCCAGCCTCAGGAACGTTATGAGACCCTAATATCCCAAAAAGGTATAGTGCGGGAGTGTCTTGGGCAAGCAAAGTACTTGTCACCCCTTTGAACTTATATATTTTTTTCAAGTATTTATTTTTTTTAGGTGGACACAATACTTTTATTTCCTTTAAACGTTTCTATTGGTATAGGTGAAATGGTTTTCTTTATTCTTTAATTTCTTTTTTTAGTTGTAGATGGACACAATATCTTTATTTTTTTAGTATTTTTATGTGGTACTGAGGATCAAACCCAGTGCCTCACACATGCGAGTCAAGCGCTCAACCACTGAACTACAACCCCACCTCTGAAATGATTTTCTATTGATAAAAATATCATATGCTACTTTCTTGATATTCTCAGGAGCAAATTTATCATAAGCATTCATAAAATATTATCTGAACTAGATGTACATTGGGACAAGTTAAATAGCTTATACTTTATATCATAAAATAAGCATTGGTTTTTTATGAATAGTTATTTGTAGGCATTTGAGAGAAGAATAGAATTCGGAAATCCCATGATGGTTATTCCTTTATGAAGCTGACCAGACCAGGTGTGCTGGCACATGTGGACTCCCAGCTACTCAGGAAGCTGAGGCAGGAGGACTACAAGTTCATGGCCAGCCTCAGAAATTTAGTGATGCCCTAAGCAATTTAATGAAACCCTGTATCAGAATGAAAAATAAAGACTGGCAGRTAGTGGGGCATGGGGCAGGGGCAGATAAGAAAGAACAGAATGAATCGGACATAATTTCCCATATTCATATAGGAAGACATAGTTAGGGAAACGCCACATCATATACAACTGCAAAAATGGGATCCTATTTATACTGCATGTGTGTATGTCAGAATACACTTTACTGTCATGTATATCTGAAAAGAGCTAACGATAAATTTTTTTAAGGGTTGGGGATGTGGCTCAGTGAGTAAGTGCTACTGGGTTTATTTCCTAGTACCAAAAAAAAACAGCAGCTGGCTGGCTGGATTGGTCAGTACTAAGAGAAGTTTTACTTGAGAATCTGTCAGCTTTGTTATAGTTTTGTTAGAACCAAGTTAACTCTCATATTTCTGGCTTATTCCAGTGATTGAGTTTTGCTAGCAGCCTCCTTAATTCAACTTTGCTTGAAGTAGCTACTTTCTGTAGAGTACTGGATTAGGTTTAATCATGAACCATTTTAATAAATACACAGCCCTTTGTTCATTTATTTGACTGACTCTTCTACTTCCACAGCGTTGTCATGACTGGATCTTACAATAATTTCTTCAGAATGTTCGACAGGAACACAAAGCGAGATATAACTCTAGAAGCATCACGAGAAAACAATAAGCCTCGCACGGTTTTGAAGCCACGCAAAGTCTGTGCAAGCGGCAAGCGAAAGAAAGATGAAATAAGTGTTGACAGTCTAGACTTCAATAAGAAAATCCTTCATACGGCCTGGCACCCCAAGGAAAATATCATTGCTGTGGCGACTACAAACAATCTGTATATATTTCAAGACAAAGTGAATTAGGGTTGGCATTCCTAGCGGAAGAGCCCACTTCCTGCTTAGTTGAGATAGTTGAATCTAGCATTCGTACCTATAAAAGAGAGAAGTCCATTGTGGCACCCCTTTCCAGTGTTTGACAGTGTGCCATTCGACAACACATTTTTATAGCTACATGGAGAAAACTCTGTGGGTTATCATTGTAGTGTTCTCCATGCCTGCTAGCCATTTAGGTAAGGGTAGGGCACTTTTAATTTAAATGACTTCTTGCACCATCTTGCCTAATGGACTAGATTGGACTGTATCAACATTGAGTTACTCCACTTTTTATGCCTTCCATTGTGATGACGTCAAACACAGTGAAAGCCTTCAGTCATGCTATGGGATTTGTGTATCCTCATTACTGTATCATTTGTTGGGTACACCCCTTCTCCCTTTTTTAAATTAAATACAGCTCATTCTTACTGTGGCTTGTAGCATTCCTCCTCTCTGGCCTCCTGGACTCTCCCCCTTCATCTCTCTTACCCTTGCTCCTTCCACCCAGTCTTGGTGGTGGTATATTAAGAAAGAAAGAACGAAAGCACACACAAAATGAGTCAGTTTGGGGTCAGTGATAAAGGGGGTATATGTTGCGAACAAATGTTCTAATAACAGTTGGCTGTAATCACTCCTTGCCATGTCTGGCACTGAAAATAAGGAAAAAAAAAAAAAAACTACTACTGAATAAAAGTGACAAAGAATGGAGAATCTGGTTTTCTTTTTCTTTTAAATCTACCTCTTTAAGCCAGTATTTTGTGTCATACCCTTGGGCACAGTGAAATGAAATTGGGTTTCCATTGTTTTATTGGTATTTTGTTAATTATTTGTAACATTTTCTTCTACATGGGGAAAGAAGAGGTGTTCTGTTTGAACATGGTTTGAATACGTATTGGTATTAAGGATTTCGGTCTATAAATGCTACTAGTGTTTTTTTATTGTAGTTATGAGGGTATTGGATACATTGTATCTATACTTAACCCATTTTCTGTTAATGAAATTGTTGTAAATGAGAACCAAATCTGTAGAACTTCATTTTTAAAGACTTTTTATAGTGCTTAATTTAATTTTTGCCTTATTAAATATTAAGTCAAAGACTTAAAAATGTTTTTAACAAGTTAAGCTTTTTTTTTTTTGTTATTCATTCATACAGTAGAACAGAAAACTAACGTTGAGTGATTCCATAGGTTAAATTGACACTGCACTATTTTTTGGTTTTGTTTTTGTATTTTATTGCAGTCAAATCAGAATGAGTTGTACTTTGCCATAGATATTTTTCTTTGGTTTCCCAAAGCTACATTAAAGAAAAACTTTTTTAAAGGTACAGTGTTCAAAAAGTGCTTAATGGACTCCAACTGCTGCCTCAAATAAAAATTTAGTAATCTGTGACTGTGCTTTCCCTAAGTGGTGACACCTTACCCAAAGATGAAAAGGACCCCTGTTTTTAATAGGTGGAATGTACCTTTGTCAGTCCTGCAGAAGCTTTAATGGAAAGAAAAAAATGGACTTTATTTTTAAAAGATGAATTGAGCAGGCATTTATATCCATAAAGAATGGTCGTATATTTTGGTTGAGCAGTAATATAAGAGCCATGAATGTAGAGGACTCGAGTGCTTATATTTCCACTACTTATTGTTCTGTTCTCATCTTCAACAATGAAAAAATGATCAAACAGTCCCACCGTAATTCCCTATACACTTATGCAAATATTATTATTATATCTTGTAAGTTAACATTTTTAGCACACAAAAAATTTTATGTAATAAAATCACTGTATCTTTTGGAGTTAAATTTTGAATTTGTATTTAAACACATTGATTATATGTCTGATAATTCTTAATGGCACTTTTACTAATTGATTTGGGGGCCTTGGGGGTGCATTCCTAATTTGTGTTATTTATTTTTCACACTTGATTTGCAAGTGGGATGTTCCCCTAACAGAAATATTAATAATGCTCTTTTTTCTGATTGGGTATCTTTCAAGAAGATCCTTTTGGGAAGTGGTTTCCCTGCAGTTTGGTTGTATGTCTTGAGATAAAACCATGAGAAAGCTCTTGGAAATTCTCTTTTTATTCATCAGTAGCTATGATGATACTCATCCATGACACTAAAGGTTAGTTTTATATATTTAAGAGAAACAATTGCTAAAATTAAAATGCCTCTATCAAGGGAATGCTATTATAAATTATTGTAACATTATCTCAAGTATTTTTTAATTTCTTTGGTGTAGCAAACTATAAGCCCAGCCACTCATTTTATATGGTCATGGTTAATTTTTTTATTAATAAAAATTATAGAATAAACTTAGTCTTGTCAAGTTGCTTGTATTTCCTATTTTCTTGCCACTAATACAGTCTTTCCCTTAAAGAAATTTCATTCTATTAATTTTCTTAAATCTTTACTTGGTGGCTGGGCAATAAGAATAGTTAATTTATAAATATAAACACATTTTTATATGGCAAATAATTACCAGGTATTGGGCTTCACTGTGAAGCCCTTAGTCTCTTGAGTTAAAAAAAATGCATTCATATACTTTTTTCTTTTACAAAATTGAGGTTTCTTTTAAATCTTAAATTGAGTTAATTGTTGTAGATATGCTTTTAAAGAAAATGGAAACATGAACACTGAGCTTCTTTTAGTCTATAAGAAAGTTATGTGTTTACTAGAAAATTGTGTATGTAAAAGCTAACAAGTACTGATAAAAGCTTTTTTAAGTGAAATTTAAATTATTTTCTTTGGGAGTATTGCTGGAATATCTTATTTATACTTCGCATAAATTGAAGTAGACATAATAATGTACACTTCAGGAAGAACACAAGTGCCACCCCCACATAAAATAAAAACTGGRAAGGTGCTGGGCATTGTGGCATCTGTAACTAACCAACTCTGGAGGCTGAGGCAGGAGAATCACGAGTGAAGGACAGCTTAAGTAACCTAACGTGTCAAGGGGTATAGCTCAGTGCTGAAGCACCCTTGGGCTTCATTCCAGTACCACAAAGCAAAGCAGAATAAGATAGGTGATCAAGAATCAAGTTTCTTTTGTATTTGAGAATATCACTATTTTAAGTATCTCTTTTCAGATGGTACTTCAAGCTGTGTGTGTGTGAGAGACAGAGAGCCAGCACAAGTGAGCATGTTTAGAAAGTTGTTTACACTCCTCCCCCAAAAGTCTTGGAAACATACCTTACTTCATATTTTTTAATTATTCATATGAGTCAGATTACAGCTCAAGTATTACTCTCATTAGATCCTTTATTAACCTATGGTCTGAGTGTTTTAAGATGGTAAAGATTCCTTACCACTGAGGTCGACATTTTTAATAATTCAGTTGTTTCAATGTTTTTTTACATAGTGATATTAGACTGGGCAACCTCTTTCTCTATTCCAATTTAAACTTCTACTTGATACAGGCTTAAAGTATTAACTTGAAAATTTCTACCATACAGTGGTACAGTGCATGTCCAACAAAAGGCAATGCAAAGTTTAGGGTTTTGTTTTGTGTTGGTTTGCTTTTTTGGTAGACATTAAACTCAGGGGTGCCTTACCACTGAGCTACATACCCAACCCCTTTTTATTTAGAGACAGGGTCTTGCTAAGTTGCTTAGGGCCTCACCAATTTGMTGAAGCTATCCTCAAACTTGTGACCATCCTGCCTCAGCCTCCTGAATTTATGGAATTACTGTACTCAGCAAAACTTAGTTTTTACAGGGGAAAAAAAGGATTTGGGAAAACAAAGTAATTAGAGCTAAATACTAAGTACATAGTTCAGTGGTAGAGTGCTTAAGTAGCATGATAAAGGTGTTGGTTTGTTCCCTAGTACCACAAAATAATAATACTATCATTAAAAGGTGGTCAGAGGAGGGAAACTAATTGGTCCTGCTTTTACAGTATTCTTCTTACTGCACCTTTATATTTGAATAGTTATGAGTTCTTCAAGGACTTTCCAGCTAGGGGGACATAGGTTAAGTCTTGAACAGAATTTATAACTTATTTTTGAGAACATAGACCTGGGAGTTCTGTTTCTATACTAGAAGAGCTTTATGTTTAAAAAACAAATTGAGGTTTTTAAACCAAGTTTTACATTCCCAATACAACCACTATTCAACATGACCCTGGAGTAAAGTCTGGTGTGGTCAGACCTTGTTTGGAAAGGGGTAAAAATGTAATTGGAAGACTGTTCCAGCCTGGCAGGATGGCACACACATGTAATCCCAGCAACTCGGGGCACTGAGGCAGTAGAATCTCTGTATAAGTTCAAAGCCAGCCTAAGCAACTCAGTGAGACCCTGTTTCTATAAGATACAAGATAGGGCTGGGGATGTGGCTCATGGTCTAGTGCCCCTGACTTCAACCCCTGGTACACCCCTGCCAAAAAAAGAAATTTTGAGCTACACTTTTCTTTCAGACTATGTGTTAGCAAAATCATACCCTGTGTATCATTTTAAACACTTCTCACCTTTACAAGGAGACCATGAACTTTATTTTGCACATTAACTCAACTCTCTAAATTCCTTATAAAATAGGATTCTGGGGGCTGGGGTTGTGGCTCAGTGGTAGAGTGCTTGCCTAGCAAATGTGAGGCCCTGGGTTAGATCCTGAGCACCACAGAAAAATAAATAAATAAAGGTACTGTGCCCATTTACAACTGAAAAATATTTTTTAAATAGTATTCTGAATGCATATTGTTTTGGTCTTCTGTTTTTAAGGTAGGAAGAAATGCCACCAAGAGCATTTACTTAGACCTGGTAAATGCAATAGACCCTGATTTTCATCCTCAGCACACCCCCCCCCCCCAAAAAAAGGGGAAATTTTGTTACTCAGAGAAAATAATAATCACATTTTCATGTGTTTTGTTTTTGCTCTTTTAGGCACAACATATTTACATGTCTTATTCTCCACTTAATATTTACACCTTGAGCAGTTTCTCATATTTTCTGAAACCAAGATTTTCATGACTACAATGCCTCGGTTATCTCATTAGTTAKCCAGTCCCTGTTGACGTTTTTGTTTTTTCAAGTAGGAATACTGAAATAATGAATATAGCAATCTTGGTGTGAGAATCATTAGGATATATTCCAAAAAATAATGTATTAGTGGGGTGTGATGGCACGTGACTGCAATCACCAGTGGCTTGAGGGGGCTGAGGTGAGTGAATCCCAATTTTGAAGCAACTTGGTGAGAACCTGTCTCAAATTTTAAAAAGTGCTGGGATGTAGCTTAGTGCTAGAGCACTCCAGGTTTTAATCTCCAGTTATCACCAAAATAGTAACATTAAGGGAGATGACTATGTTTTAGATCTGGTGCATAATGGCAAATTTCTCTTCCAAACTTCCAAAAAGTTTCACCATAAATATAGGGGATTACCCATGTTTCACACTTATTACTGAACAAAAACCCATGTTTTATCTTTGTAAGTTTGAAAAGGAGATGGTAACCTAATTTTCTGTTTATGTTTCATCTTTCTAATATGATAGTAATTGCTATAATGTGGATACGACACCTTTACCAGGCATGCTTTATCAATATTTTCTCCATGAGGCTTTTTTCTTTCAACAATACCCCCCTTCTTTTTTGGTGCTGGGAGGATTGAAGCCAGAGGTATTCTTCTACTGAGCTATATTCCTGCCCCCCCCTTTTTTTGAGACAAGTTCTCACTAAATTGCTGAGGCTGGCATTGAACTAGCAATCCTGCCTCAGCCTCCCAAAACGCTGGGATTACAGATGCACGCCACTGCACCTGGCTCAACAGTGCCTTTTTAAAAAGCAGTGTATCAGTATAGATTTTTCCTTTATGGATATTTTGGTGTCATCTCTAAAATCATTGCCTAATTCAAGGTCACAGCCTTTTTTTTTTAAGAAGTTTATTATTTTTCAGTTTTAGCATTCTATGATCCATTTTTTAATTTTTATGTATGGTTCATTTATAAAAGTGATATACAGTATGTATCACGTATAGATCAAGATTTGTTTTTCTTTGCACCTTTGTTGAGAACCAGTTGGCTGTATATGTGTGAAGGTCTCTGAACTGTCCCATTAATGTACATATTC